TAACAGTACCATGCTGCTAACAGAACCATGCTGCTAACAGTACCATGTTGCTAACAGGACTATGCTGCTAACAGTACCATGCTGCTAACAGTACCATGCTGCTAACAGTACCATGCTGCTAACAGTACCATGTCGCTAAGAGTACCATGCTGCTAAAGCCCCTTATCCACAGGTCCGGTTCTTGTAGGACCCTATTGGGCCTTATTTAGGCTGGTTCCGGTGGGACCGGTTTATTTCTGTCTCCACAGTGCCCATAGTTCCCCTTTAATGGGCGGTTCATTAATATCTACGCGCCTTACCAGCTAGTGGTGCTAGTGCTACATTAAGCTCTTTAATAACCACCACTAACAAGTATAAGAAGAAGAAGAGTTAGAAAAGAGCACACAACCAAAACAGATAATCTTGTTTCTGTTTTGAACATTCTGCTTTGACTGTGGCTTTTTCTCCTTTTTTATGGAAACAACATATATACGGGGTGGCTGTGGCTGAGTAGTTAGAGCAGTCGTCCTCCAATGCAAGAGTTGGGGGTTCGAATACAGCAGCAGTCACATGCTGAAGTATCGCTGGGCAACACACTGAACCCCTCATAGCCTCTGATGTGTGTCCCATCAGTGTATGAATGTGATCTAAAAAAACACTGATTAGTCTCATTAGAATGATTTGTTCAGTTAGCTTTGTAGATACTGTATCTAGTAGAGTGCTGTATGAATGGGTAAATGAGGACATGGATTGCAGTGTAAAGCGCTTTGAGTATCTTGAAATAATATAGAAAGGCGCTACATAAAGTAAAGTTCCTTTACATATATACATATACATACAAATGCAAAAAAGTTCAATCTGGTCCTCTGGACATTCAAAAAAAAAAAGGCAAAACAAAGCAAAAGAAATCTAGAAACGTTTCGTCTCTCATCCAAGAGACTTCCTCAGTCTGAGGTGCTGTTTTCAGCTCAGTCTCTTAAATAGCACCTTCTTAGAGTGGATCAACCAGTTTGCTGCTGACAACCAAAACCAGCTGAGCATGCATCAGGATATACATACATATGCATATACATATATATATATATATATATATATACATACATATGCATATACATATACATATATATACATATATGCATATATATATATACATATACATATACATATATACATATGCATATATATATATATATACATATATATACATATATGCATATATATATATATACATATATGTATATATATTTATATACATATATGCATATATATATATATATACATATATGTATATATATTTATATACATATATGCATATATATATATATATACATATACATATACATATATATATATATACATATGCATATATATATACATATGCATATATGCATATACATATACATATGCATATATGCATATACATACATATGCATATATGCATATACATATACATACATATGCATATATGCATATACATACATATGCATATACATATACATACATATGCATATATGCATATACATACATATGCATATATGCATATACATACATAGGCATATATGCATATACATATATGCATATATACATATGCATATACATATATGCATATATGCATATACATATATGCATATA